TATTTAATGTTATGGCTAAAAAAACAACGCGAATTAAAAGATGTGGAAAAAAGCTTATAACCCTATTGGTTTTTAGACTTAACGTTGAGTAAAAGAGGTAGAAATTAAATAATAACCCTTTTACCTTTTAAACTTAAACGGAAAAGACTGTGAAAATAACTCATTTAATATCTTTGTCACGTGCATCGCACGGGGTACGTACTAGTTTAATATATGTATAGATATATATATAGATTCTGAAAATTAACTTATATACATCGTCGGTTTTATTTCTAATTTTTTATTTAAAACATATAAGAGAATAATATGAAAGAAACAAAAAATATTGAGAGTGAGATAATATCATGTTATAAAAGAAGATAATAAACAAATTTATATGGAATAATTTAAATATATTAAATATGTGTATTTATGAATTTTTATGTGAGCCATATTACGTAATTTTTGGCACATAAGATTACGAATCATGCAAAGCTGTCAATTACAGTCAACACATTCTGTAATTATATATATGATATCGACAACATTAAGGAAATAAGTTTGAGTTAAAGTTGAGTTAATTTTTTTTTTTTTTTTTGGGTACAAGAATATGAGGCAAAACTTAATTACGACGAGACCGACACGTTTCTAGGATACGACACCCTTATTACATCATGAGCAAACCGAGTCTTCACACTTGATGGAGGATCGTCCAAACGCTGAGCTTCGCGATAACCATATTGCAAAACCATCTTGTGGATTTTTAACTTGTATTAAATGTGAAAGAAATGTTATTAATAACCAAGCACATGCCCTAAAAAACCATACTCGTGCCTCTTTATAGCGTTCCTATCCACCCAACTACCTCTTGTCCCTACCTACCCTCTCTCCGCTTCTCTGCAACGAGAGGGTGCTAAGACTGACAGACAGCCACAACTATACATACACACTTTTGTGTACGCATAGAGACCCACCGTGAACCCGAAGAAGAAGAAGAAGAACAAATACAGCAATGGAGTCAACAATGCTGTCTATTGGAGCTTCCACGACCATGTCGATTTTGTCCCTCTCCAAGTCCCTCAATTCCCATTCCACCCCTATCATCGTCCAGTTCCACCGCCGCCTATCCACCGCCCGCGCCTCTCAGCTCGCCTACCTCAGCCTCGCCCGCGGCGTCCAGTCGAGCAGGCTCGGTCCGGGCCCTTTGCCCCGGGGATTGTTTTCTCCAGACTTTTCTCGGAGCCGATTGCAGTTTGCGGCGAGGTCCGCAGCGGCGTACTCCGCCGGCGGAGGGGGGTTTGGTGGCATTGATGGTGGATCAGGCGGCGGCGGAGATGGTGAGGGTGGAGGTGGAGATGCTAGGCCGAGTGCCGTAGCTCCCGGGTCCGCGGATGCTTCTGCTCCAAGCTCTGATGTTATCATTCTCGACGTTGGGGTAAGCACTTCACAGTTATTTTCCTGCAGGTAGTTTTTTGTTTAGCTTTTGGGCGTGTTGTCGACGTTTTTGGTGCTAAATTGGTTCTAGAGTTCATGGGCTTGTATTCGTTTTTTAGTTTAGCAGGTGATAGTATTTTGACTGCAATGAATCATTGTATCAGATTTAGCTGACCTTGGATTTTCAGTTACTGACCACCTTTTGGATTATCTTCTGAATTTCTGTTGCTCCCATTTAGAAAAATTTTACTTCCTGATGTTTCAGGGAATGACGTGTGGGGGTTGCGCTGCAAGTGTGAAGAGGATTTTGGAGAGTCAAGTAAGTTGTAGACTTGTAGTAATCCCCGGTGCATTTCTGTAGCTCTGTACCTTTTTACTTATTTGTTTTTCCTCTTCATATTTTCTTGTTTTACCATTTTCCCTGTGCATAAGAGAGTTGGAGGATTGAATCTAATAAGTTATAGAGATTTGTTGGTTTCACCTATAATTCCCTTTCAAAATGTACTTGCGCTACAAGTGCATTGCCTCATTTTAAATCGAATAACGATTCTATATCCTTCATTGGGAATCCTGCAACGATTTCAGTGTGCAGTGAGATATTTAGCCATTATGGTGCCGTACTAAATGAAAAGGGCTCTTCCTCCAAGAATGTTATGTTGTGGCTATAAGCTACTTATTTATTAAGGAGAAGATGAAAATAATCATTCTGAAGGGGAATTAAAGCAAGGGTTGATGTGTGTTTGTTGGCAGATGCAAGCCTTCTTATAATTTATTTGAGTTTTTACCAATCCCTATTCTGTTTGTGTTATTAGCTCACTAAACCATAAGGATTTAAAAAAGTTTCATTTCCCATATAACTGATATAAAGACATTTTTACTATTTATTTCTTAATTTACTGTTGATTTATTGGAGATATAAAACACTTTTTGCAGGATATGAGATGAGACGAATTCATAACTTGTTTGATTAACTTCTGATATGGACATACTCGTGCATTTATTTTCACCATTTTTTTTGCTCTTAATGTTGTATTAAATAGTTTATATTATCTGAACAGCCTCAGGTTTCTTCAGCCAGTGTAAATCTCACAACCGAGACAGCAATTGTATGGCCTGTATCTGAAGCCAGAGTTGTACCTAACTGGAGGACGGATATAGGAGAGGCTCTGGCGAAGCACTTGACTAGTTGCGGTTTCACATCTAATCTTAGAGGTATGTAATTCTGTATCTAGTAGTTGGATGATTCATTTATTTTGCAATTGGTGCTTCTTATGTTCATGACCACTATACCTATGTGGGTGGCTGGAAACCTTTTCTGTTCCGTGTGTTGCAATGTGATAGTATATGGAATCAACATGTAGTAATGGTTTCTCATCTCCTAGGCGTGCGGGGATCTATGTTCATTCTCTAGGATTAATCTGTTAGTGAATGGTTCAAAGTTACAAGAATCCTTGCAACCATGCTCTGAATGTCCTCAATGTAAAGTTTACCTTGAAAAGGGTGAACATGCTATCAATGGTTTTCTACAATTCTATTCACCAATTTCAGGACTTTTGTAGATGAAGAATAAATATGGCAGTAATTTTTTCCATAGAATATTTTCTGTTTAACTAAAATTCTTCATTAATCTGATAGTTGAATGAATGGACCAAGAGAAAAGTATTTTACTGCTGAATATTCATCAACAGGTTATTTGGATCTATTACCTACAACACCTGGAGTCCAGAATTAGGTTTCTGTCTTCAGAAATTATTCAATTCAGACCAATATATATAATCTCAGATTTGATTTTATATTGAAAACTTTTCCTTTTAACTTAATTTTTTGGGTTAATGAAAGAAAGACTAAATCACTAAGATTTCCTCGAGATAAGGAAAAAGAATAGCTGATAGCACGTCTTGGTTTTGATGTTTTCAAATGTCTATATCAGAGCCCAAGATCAAATAATCAGTTACTAATCTTGTCAATTTTAATACCTTAATGACATCTTTAGCATTTCTTAAAATAAAAATAAAAATACAGTATCCTATATTTGAGCACCTTTATGTTCTATCCTTGAAGTGACATGCCATATAAACCTAGCTCGACCATGAATATTCTCATCCGAGTTTTAAGTCTGGTAAAAGTTGGCCCTAATCAATGGCTTTATTGGATATTAGCAGATGAGGGAGCCACTGATGGGGTTATTCAGTTGTAGGATGCAATGGATTCTTGTGACAACTCTTCATGGTATGTCCTAGTTCCACTCATGTTCAATAGTACTACTTGTCCAGCTTGGACTTATTGAACTATTAACAAAAACCCAAGGTATTCTAATACTAGTTTTTTCATCAGTAGGTGTGTTTCTTCGGCTACTATTGGTGATTTATGGAAGTCAGGCATACCTATCCTATTGAGAAGATTCACCATAAGAAATGTTGTTGTTTCTACACATCAGTTGACACTGACTTCCTTGCCATTGAGTGATTTAATAGCTTTTTTAAGAGCGCCCTGCTAGGTTTGAAATGATCAAGCTAGCTGTCTAATGCATGGACATTTTCTTGACAAACATTTTATTTGTATGTGTGTGTTGCAATATCTAAAACAGAAGTGAGTTTTTTGTATTCGTCCAATTATTGTATGGAAAATGAGGAATTTTTGTTTTTGCTCTTGTTTTTTTCCCTCTTGATGTTGTCCTTTCTAATTTATTGGCTTTCTATTGTACTTTGTTCATATTTCTAATTTTCTACCGTACTGTAGCCAATTTTATATGTTTTCTATATCAAATTCTTTTATATGTGACCTGGGTCGTCTTGGTGAGATTATTCAGCTGAAAATTGATATTATATTATACTAAGCTCTAAAGCATTAGCATAGTAATGTAGTGACAGGATTGGTAACTAAAAGGGAGTTCTTATCAGTTAACACCAGTTTCGACGTCGTGCATGCTTAGTCAACACTACCCAAATCTTGGAGAACAAACCTTATAATCGAATCACCACAGACCAAACAAACTGACCTTAATTTTTCTAGTTCAGTTTTTTTCCAATTTGAGTTTCTGTCAAACTGATTTAGCCCCTGTTTGTTCTAAATTGACTGGACTGCTGGCTGGAAACCATTAAAATACTAGAGGTTGTTAAGCTCCGTGGTGGGTGAGAAGAAGTTCCTTGCATTACTGCTCTCATCTTGTTCTGTGATTTACTGAAAGATGTTAATCAGACGTGTGAACAATCTTCCAGAAAATTTAAGATGTCTATCCTTATTATAACTTGCTTCTGAAAGAAATATGAAAGTAAAAAACATAATAATGAAAACTAGAAATATTTGAAAACTTCCAAGAAATACCTGAATAGTTTTCCTTACATTGCGCATCTAGGAATACGCGTACGTGCAAGGCATGTCTCTTGTGCGCGCACGGAATGGATCGTGCCTGCTCCCTTTTGTTGATAATTTATTGCATTTATTTATTCATTGTATCTGAAAGAAACCTGCGATTTTCCTTTTTTACTTCATCATTCATATAGTAGTTATTACAGTTCAGTAATTATATTTCCCACACAAGCCAAGAGGTAGTGTTTACTAACTCAAGATACCCACCATCTGTTGATATGGGAAGCTGTGAGTTGCTTTACCATGCCGTGTTGAGAAATGGTGGCAGTATGTTAAAGAATGATTTATCTGTACAAATCTTTTCCTTCCTATATTATTGCAAATATTATCTGAACAACCAGGTACTTTTATTTTTGTCATCTTAGCTGCTCTTCTGCTATAGAATGATTCTCTGGTTCTTGTTGTGCAGCTTTAATGATGCAACAATGACAAGAAGTTGCTTGTTCAAACATTTAGAAGAAGCTGATTTGTTTTCCAGAAATCCGCTGTTGTCATCAGTTGCTAAATTCTTTTTGCACATTCAGAATTTTCTGTTGCAAAATTTCAAACTGACTGATTTGATGTTTCAAGTCATGTATAAAATTTCTAACTGTATGAATCTTCAGATTAATGGCTTAGTTTTCAACCCCAAATCAATCCTTTGATATGATATGTTTTCGATAGTGTAAGATTCCAAAAAGAAACCTTTATCGATTTTGTGTTCAGCTCCTGAAAGATTTTTGCTATTATCATATTAGTGCTATTTGTATATTCTGTTTTTGAGGATTTGCATGCTGCTGCAACTTTCCGAGTGACATTAGACTTGGCAGTTGTGTTGTGCGATGATACATAGTGATAAGATCCTTTCCCAAAAGATCAGTCTTATTTATTTCTCTAGATTGAGTGTTTATTGTATTTATATCCAGAATCCTCATTCTTTTCAGATTTAAGGAGGGTGAATTTCTATGAGACATTTGAGAAGAAAATAAATGAGAAACGTGCTCTGTTGAGAGAAAGCGGTAATTTTTCTCCTCCATATGTATTATAATTGACATTAGAATATTGGCATTGTGGATCAATTGATTCAAATTGGCTATTAACAGGACGTGGACTTGTTGTTTCTTGGGCTCTGTGTGCTGTGTGTATCGTCGGCCATCTATCTCATTTTTTTGGAGCCAAGGCTGCATGGATCCATGCATTGCATTCCACAGGATTCCACATGTCTTTGTCCCTTTTTACGTTGTTGGGCCCTGGCCGTCGACTTATAATAGACGGTCTTAAAAGTCTTCTTAGAGGGGCCCCTAACATGAATACACTAGTTGGTCTTGGGGCTTTATCATCCTTTGCTGTCAGTTCCTTGGCAGCCTTTATCCCTAAACTGGTAAATTGTCAGATAGAAGCTTGCCATATTTCTCAACTTATCTCTTCATTATGCCATATGCAACATATATATTGTATTTGCTACTTTCTCTTTTAGAAATTTTGACTGCAGGTGTAGTTTGAAATTATATTTTGGTGCACACCATTTATGTTCCTTGCCAGACGTTAGGGGCATGCTGAATAGGTGTGTACATTTTCTGATGTGCTTTCTATTAAAAGAAACTTCTGTTGACGTAGGGATGGAGAACTTTCTTCGAAGAACCAGTTATGTTGATAGCATTCGTCTTACTTGGGAGAAACCTTGAACAGAGGGCCAAGATAAGAGCAAGCAGTGATATGACTGGTCTTCTAAGTATTTTACCATCTAAAGCTCGTCTTCTGATTAATGGCAATGCAGAAGACTCGAGCTCAACTGTCGAAGTGCCTTCTCACAGCCTTTCTGTGGGAGATCAAATCATTGTGTTGCCTGGTGTAAGTGTTTTGTGAACCTTGAATCTTGTCTCTAATTTCTCATGTAGTATATGAATCCTGAATCCGTTAAACGAAAAGCTCTGCCTGTAAACAATCATCCATAATACCTACTATTTTCAATTGGAAACAGTAACCCGGACCTGCAAGGGCATGCTCATTTCCATTCTGGCTTTCATTGATTTCATATTGATATCATGGTTGTAGGATCGTATACCAGCTGACGGAGTTGTTAGGGCAGGCAGAAGCAGCGTCGATGAGTCAAGTTTTACTGGAGAGCCTCTACCTGTCACTAAATTACCGGGGGTATTTGTACTATTTTAGTTTGTCAGCAAATTCTGCTTGTACAACAGCGATACAAAAATGTGTTTGGTTTGGTAGTTCTCCAGTCTTTGGATAAGGAATCATATCTCTAACTTGTTTTTAGGTGGGAAAAATCAGAAAAGCTGAGTGGCAATGGGAAGGAATTCATTTTATCTTTATCGGGTGAAACAGATGTATTAAAAAAATTTACGAACTAATAGTTTAGTCAAATACATCAAATAGCAATTCTCACGAATGGCTTGTTTAAAAGTAATTTAGATACGATTTTTTATTTGAATTGTGATATTCAAAGGTACAGTTTCTCTGTACAGGACCATTTGTCTTATAAAGAATTTCCACATGCCAAAAAAAGTCTGAAATATATTATGGAAGTATTTTGTCCTTTATCTATGTGATTCAGTCCATTCCTTTATTTCTCCCCCAAATGTCGTGGAGGATTTGTCCATGTCAAACATTGTTGTCATCTTTGATTGAATTGCAATTCCTATAGTTCATCTCGCTCACATTGCCCTGCCTGCTTGGTTTTCACTTTGTACTAGGCTGACGTGGCAGCTGGAAGCATAAACCTGAACGGTAAAATTACAATAGAGGTTAGGAGACCAGGTGGTGAGACTGCAATTGGAGACATAGTCCGGCTGGTTGAAGAAGCTCAAACTAGAGAAGCTCCTGTTCAACGGTTAGCTGACAAGGTCTGTTACCTGTAACTTCTGCTCTCATTTTTGTGTTGACTTTTCTGTCTCATACTACTGTTTGGACTGTTCAAAAGGTTGTAAGAAGTTATTGTGACGAGTTTTAGCCAGGGAAATCCATCTCAGAATTTAACATGTACATGGGAATTAGCATTTGTTTTTAGTGTGCACATATATTATATCCAGGGAAAGTTGTATGATATACACATACATATGCATATGATCCTATTCAGAAAATATCTGTCACTGTTTTAGAGGAAATTTCTGTAGATTAATCAAATAACTAAATAATATAAAGGAAGACTTTTTTATTGCATTCTTTCTTCTTCAATTTATGCACTTTTTTAAAATACTCATCCGTACTTTTTTATCTCATACTAGTAAGGAAGATGCAACGTGTAATATTGCCTTTTATTTAAAGTTAATTTTATTATTAGATTTATATTTATAATTTTCTTTCCATTATTTTAACAAAAAATGGTGTATTTATTGATAAACAATAACAAAAGTATTGATAATGAAATATAATATTTAATACTATTAACTGGACTCTATGGTATATAAAATTAAATGAAAAAACATTGGTTTGAAATCCAAGATAAAAATATATATTCCTTTTTTTTTCGAAATTTTAAATGCCAAAGAAATTTATGTCGTCTTTGATCATGTTATGTAATGATATCCTCATTATTGCTTAAAGGAATGATTATTATTAATGTCATCATTATATAGTTTTCTAGTATCTTCCTTTTGCTCGCTTTTTTTGAAACATAATTTTCTAATGTCTTTCTTTTGCGTCATACCTTTTGAAAAATAACTCGGATTTGCTATAACTATAATTTGTAATGATATTTTTTTATTGCAGAATGGAAGCTAACCAAATATGTTTGAATGTTTTGTCCTCTATTATTTTGATTATAGTGGTTGCAACATAAATTATATTTTCAAGTACAATGTTTTGCATTACTTAAATATATATATTTTCTCTATGATATAATGACATAAGAGATAAATAAATATTTAAAAATATCTTTTAAAGTCTTAATTGTTTGAAAAAGAAAATTTACATAAAATATATTAGAACAATAACATCCTTGATTGATTAAAGGTACCCATCTATATATATTGTCCAATATAAATTATTTTTGCGTCTCCTAATATTGCCATGCAGGGGTTATCATTTTTGTTCATGGATTTTCAAGGCTATCCTAAATATGAAAAAATAAATAATTTCAATTTGAATGAATTGTAAAGTGAGGATTTTTTCATATTTTATTTTATCTTAATATTATTTTTATATCTTTTTCAATGTTTTTATATAGTTTATTTTCCCGACTTTTGAGAAGTGGTTTGGAAACATTTAATTTATGAATGATTTCATAAATAAGATTGGCTAATGACAACAATTTTAAAGTAAAAATGTACATTTTAATTTTATTTAGTTGATTTTAATTGTGATTATTTTCTAATAAGTACATGTATTTTGAAGTTCACGATTTAAAATCGAGTTTTTGTTTTTTTATTTTAGTTTCTAATGTACTCTATTTTATTTATATTACAATTAAAGTAAAAGGTAGATTACTTTCATTAAAAAAATCTATTTTATTTATACTACAATTAAAGTAAAAGGTAGATTACTTTCATTAAAAAAAACATTTATACTATACACTGGTAAACTTAAATCATATTATGCATATTGTTTTAGTGAATAATTTGGAAAAAAAAATATAGAACTATTAAGATTATGTATTTTTCACTTAAGGAATAACAGGGATATAAAAAGTTTTTGTTTTGATTGAATTTTTGGTTTAGGTTGGTTAAATTTGAAAAAGTTGGTATGGTTAGTTGTTAGTGAGTATATTAAAATAATATTTAAATAAAATGATTAAAATTAAATTGATGTAAATGTGGGAGAGAGATGTGATGTGATGGTTAGTTAAAATTATGTGAGTTGATGAATAGTGAATTAAGGTTGATGTTGTGTGTAAGAATGATTGATTGATATTATTTAATTATATTGATAATATTGATGATAGTTGGGTTGAGTTAAAGTTGAGTTAAAAAAAGTAGTTGAGTTAAAAATGATTGGATTTTTTGGGTTGAATTTGTATCCAAGCATGCTCTCACTTTTTTCCACAGAAATTTGACTTTTTTATGTGTTCGAAATTTATTTTCGATTCAATCATTACTAAACATATGCATGTTTAGTAAAATATTTATTTTTTTAATACTATAACAAAATCTTTGTAGTAAACATTATGATATTTAGAAATTAGAGACGGTGCTTTTATTGGTGCATTATATATTTTACACTCATGAAATAATATATTTTATTTTTAATTAACAATTCTTAAAATAATATTTTCTCTTACATTTAAAAACTACCTTTAAATTAGCAAAACCAGAACCTAACGTCATATGTAGATCAATACTTAAGAATATAATTAAGAACAAATTATTTATTTAAAATCTATAAATTTGCGGGGATAGTCTTTTTGTATGTGTAAAAAATTGAAAATATAATTAAGTATAAAAAATAAAAGATAATAAATAAAATAAAATTAAGAAATGGAGGTTCAAAAACTTGACAAATATTGTTAGTTGTAACTTCCCAACTTTAATAAGAAAATTACATTATTAACCTTAACTCTTCCTTTTAAGAGAGTCAGAGATTATAGATTATAGATTTGCAGTGCATCATGCTATTTCACAGTCCATTGATAGAATTATTTTTCTTCTAGGTTGCCGGACACTTTACGTATGGAGTAATGGCACTTTCTGCCGCCACATTTGTGTTCTGGAATCTTTATGGTTCGCGCATTCTTCCAGCTGCTCTTTACCAAGGAAATTCCATGTCACTGGCATTACAGCTTTCATGTAGTGTTCTGGTATTGCATGATACTCATAAATTTATATGCTGAACTCCTTTATTGAACTTATTGACATAATCTAAGTCTAAGCAGGTTGTTGCATGTCCATGTGCGCTTGGGCTAGCAACACCGACAGCTGTGCTGGTAATGTTTTTGTATGAGAGTGTTTTGAGCCAACGAATTGTTATATGATCAACATAACTAGGCCATGTTGCTACTTAACTTTTAATTAACATCAGGTAGGAACTTCACTTGGTGCTAAAAGAGGATTACTATTGCGTGGTGGAAGTATCTTGGAAAAATTTTCAGCAGTCAATACCATTGTTTTCGACAAAACGGGCACGTTAACTATGGGAAAGCCTGCTGTGACAAAAGTAGTGATACAAGACCACCAAGAAGATACAAATTCAGAGTTGAGTATGGAATTATGCTGTTTGATTATGTTATTTATGAAGTAGTGCTAATGATATGCTGCTTGTTATTTAATTCTTCTTAATATTTACATGAGTTTGATAACAATGGAACAGTCTATCTCGATTTTCATATAAATTCAAAATTTGGGAGGTTTATCTAGGTTACGATAGAAAATTATAGTCTCACAAAAAATTGGAGGTTTATTTAGGCAACTGTAGAAAGTTACAGTCCTTTTCAAGCTCTTCTTATCAGATCTTCTACTTTACCTGTCATTTTCTACTTTACCTATCAGGATGAAAGATATGCTTGTTCTTGTTGCTGTCACCTTAACTATTGATAGATGGGCATTGTTAGAGTTATAGATTCGGTGGAAAAAGATGCTGTCCCATAGAGGTGAAGCGCACCAACCATAAGAGGGTAAGCTTAAGTGAACCTTAGTGAGATTCCATCCCAACGCCAATTGATGATGAGAGGAGTAGCCCATTAGACTTATAAACTAGACCCATTTTTCCTATGGAATTAATGTGGACAACTCTGATATTTCAACACGCCCCCTCTCTTGTGAGTTCTTCATAGGCTCAAACCCATAACAAGCGGAGTAAATTAAATCATCGCAGATCGCAAGTCTTAGATTAGGCCTGAACCATGTTAGACATAGATTTGAGGGAAAATGGTGCGGTCCCATAGGGGTAAAGCACACCATAAGAGGGTAAGTATCTTGAGTTGCTCCCCCACCACTAATTGGTTTTTGTTTTGGGATGAAACCTAATTAGGTGCACCTAGGCTCACCGTCTTATGATGCGCTTCAACTCTATGGACCGCACCCTCTTCCTCCGAATCTATAACTCTAATATGGTTTTAGAGCCATGGAATAAAGTGTTTATCTGGTATTATGAACCATTATGAATTAACAATTGTACTAGAGAGCCAAAATCATTAGAGCGAAGGAATAAAGTGACTGTCTGGTATTTATGAAGTCTGGCTTGGCACCTCAGTAAATTTGACATGTTTTCGTACATATCCTTTCCCCTGCAATTGGTTCATAGGCTGCCTTCTACAGGAACAATACAACTTCTCTTGTTTTTTCCAACATTTTCTTCGTGAGGTGATATTGAGCATATACGGGTCATCATACCAGATTTATCAATACGGTTCCAACATACGCCGAGTGTTGATTTGGAGTATGAAGATTATGCCTATTATTATCGTGTGTATGAACCTTGCAACAGACTTACAATCTACAACTTATTTCAAGTTGTTCATAGACGATCCGGTTGTGGAACGAGTTGTTCCCACAATTGAGTTCGGCAAGTGGCTAAATTTTCAAGATTGGAATGAATGAAACTGCCATGTGAGAATCAACTGTTCAATATAGGAGAAAGGTTGGAAAGGCAAGAGAAGCTCTATTGTTCTTTTGGCAGGCGACCTATTGGAGGGGAGAAGACATGTATAACATTGATTTCAGGTCGTCCGATTAATCGCGATTAATCGCGATTAATCGTCCTGGTCGCTCCCAAGTGCTCGATTAGGAGGTCCGACCCGACCAGCTCGACCAGAAACCTGGTCGTCCGATTAATCGACGATTAATCGCGATTAATCGTCCGACCAGGGCATATGGACGACCAGGACATTTATTTGTCTTTTTGGGCTGGTATGTGGGCTGCTGGGCTTGGCCTGTTGGGCCTGTTAGGGTTAGGATATATATAGGAAGGAGGCAGCCAGGGACAGCTGACGGCTGCAATTCTTTCCCCCACACTCCACTTTCCCCGTCTCCCGCGCTCACTTTCCTCCCTTCCCGCGCGAGTTCCTCCCTTCCCCGTGCTTTTCCCCTTCTCTCGCCTCCTCTCTGTGAGTCTGGAGCAGCAGGGACAAACAGGGAGCCCTCTCGCCTCCTTTATTGTCTATAATATAGTATATATAGAGGTATATATATATAGAGGATATGTCCTAAAATACCTGGACGACCAGATGGACGACCAGGCTCGACCAGCCCGATTAATCTAGCTGGTCGACGATTAATCACGATTAATCGTCTGGTCGGTCCCTGGTCGACCAGGTTCGACCAGCCGACCTGAAAACACTGATGTATAAAGATATGTTAAATTTACTTGGTGTCAAGCCCAACTTTAATACCAGACAATCACTTTATTATATAGCATTTGACTCTCTAATACAATTTTTTAATTCATGATACCACACACTTTATTTCTTGGCTATGATACCATGTTCGAGTTATAGATTTTGAGGAAGAGGGTGCAGCCCTAGAGAGGAAAGCACACTATGGTGAGCGTAGGTGCACTTTAGTGATACTCCATCCAAAAACCAAAAACCAATTGGTGATGGGAGGAGTAGCTAACTACGCTCCCGTAGAGGGAAGCGCATCATTAGAGGGCGTAGCTCACTACGCTCTCCAATAAATTGATTGATACTTGAAATCATGCATAACTTACAAACTATAGTTTATGAAGTATACTACTTCTTATGGTTAAATATAAAGATTTTTAAAAGTATCATATACTTATAAATATTAAATTAGTTTTACATAATTATTATTTTTTATTTATTTTATTGTATAAAAATCAACATTCCTTTCATTGTATTTAGAAAAAAAAAAAATTTACAAAATATATATAAAAAAAATTATACGGGTGCCTAGGCGGCGCCTGTACCGCTTAGGTTACCGCGTAGAACGCCTAAAGTTTAGGCGTGACTAACTTCGCAACCGCGTGGATTGCATAGACCCAACTAGCCCGCCTAGGCAGCGCCTAATTGCTTGAGTGGCTAGAAGGGCCACCTAGACGAAAATTGAGGCATCCGGGTGCCGCCTAGCGCCTAGGTGGGCGCCCAATTTTAGTACAATGGAAATTAGTGGAAGTTCTATGGAGGTGACGGTGTTGTAGGGTGTCGTCCAAAATATGTAATAGATGAGTAATTTGTCTTATGCTTCTACTTTGTAATGGTGTTGGTGACTTTTTGGCATATAACTTGTGCCAGAAGAAGATAAGAAGACTTAATAAATTAAGCAAGACTCCATTATTTGTTCAGAGATAAAAATGCAAAATACAAAATAGTCCAAGTTGGAAACAGAAACATCCGACTTAGAGGCACCCTTTAGACTATTATATGATGAGTGATGCTTACTTGTCATTGACTTGGAGACTAATGACAAATATTCAGGCTGTAGGTTGGGTAAATTCTGGAGCAATTATTTGTTTTCATGTTTTTGTGGATGTGGTTTCGTCATATATGTTGCTTCGATAGCTTGAAATGTATTTTTCACAACTCATCATATTTCTAAAAGTTTTTTATTGCCTTTCTGATAGTGGGCCTTGTTAATTGCAGACTAGATTCGAAGTCAACTCATAAGTGGTCTGAAGTTGAAGTTCTGAAATTAGCCGCTGGAGTAGAGTCGAGTACAATCCATCCAATTGGTAAAGCAATTGTTGAGGCTGCAAAAACTTTAAAGTGTCCAAATGTGAAGGTATAATTTTTATTCCGTCCTGCTAGTGCTGCTACTCAGAGATTATTTGGTGATACGAAGCTGTTTGCATTGGATGCTGGTTTTTGTCATTTTATAAAAATGTATAATGCTATAGGTACAGATGGTAAAGGGTTAGCTTGCACACAATTTTAACGACATGAACGCTCTTTGCTATGAGTTTTTGTAGCTTCTGTTGTGCCCCTTGGTCTGTACCGATGACATCCAGAGTTAAAATGACTTACGCTGATCATAATTATAATAATGAGGCAGCCTCATATTTCAGTTGCTTTAGAGTTGATGTTCAGATTTGTCGTCTTCTCTAGTGGTTCTTGAGAATGTGGTTCTGTAGATTCATTTGTTTGTCAATCGTTCGCATAAAGATTTAAATCTATAATCAGTTTGTGTACTATACTGGTCTCGAGGAAAACTTTTGAATTGCTTTAATGATCTGCTTGTAGGCAGTAGAAGGAACATTCACTGAGGAACCTGGTTCTGGTGCGGTGGCAACTATTGATGAAAAAAAGGTCGCTGTTGGCACACTTGACTGGGTCCAAAGGTGATCAATATATGTCAATAATCTCTGTTTTTAGTGGGGACTAAGCTTAACTTTAAAATTGTCACCATGTGTTTAATTTGTCAAAGTACCACCACTTTTCTTCGCTTCCTCAAAGCTGTTTTTCATGTTTTCTGAACTTCTCTAGCTATAATTTTATTCCCATTTTTTTTCCTATGATTCTATCAAAACTTCTTAACTACAAGCATCTTAGGTTTCACTCTTAAATACCTAATGCCACCATGCTTTCGCCACGTCACATAATATGTTTTTCAAACACATGCAGGCATGGAGTAGTTGGTGGCAGTCCATTCCATGAAATCGAAGAGTTTAAAAATCAATCAGTTGTTTATGTTGGAGTAGATGGTAGTCTTGCCGGGGTTATATATGTCGAGGATCAAATCAGAGAAGATGCCCCACAAGTCATTGAATCATTGACCCGTCAAGGAATTAGTACATATTTGCTTTCTGGTGATAAAAGAAGTGCTGCTGAATATGTTGCATCTGCTGTGGGGATCCCAAAGGAAAGGGTGAGACCATTGGAGTACACATAAATTGACTGCCTTGAACTAAGCATTCCTTTATCTTTAGAAGTTCCACTAAAAAAAAAAAAAATTTATCTGTTTCCAAGTTATGCACAATTGTGCACATTAAATTATAGCATTTAATAAATGGTTGGTTGTAGGTGCTGTATGGAGTCAAACCTGACGAGAAAAAGAAGTTCATTAGTAGACTTCAGGAGGGTCCGAATATTGTAGCTATGGTTGGTGATGGAATCAATGATGCAGCTGCCTTGGCTTCATCACATGTTGGAGTTGCTATTGGGGGAGGTGTTGGTGCGGCTAGTGAGGTGTCCTCAATCGTGCTAATGCAGAATAGGTTGTCCCAGGTACATCACTAACTGCTTCGTCTTACTGGAATTCCTGGAATAATTTGATCTCTCGTTGTTTTTTCATTTTGTACTTAAGAAATAATTTGTTGATTCCAATCCCATAAGCTTCTATGGTATCACAATTTAGTCATACTGAGAGTTGCATGTGTGGCGTATGAGAATAAAAGATTCGGAGCCTTGCACTTGCAAATATTTGGCTGTTCATAATATGTTCTAGTTTACATTCATATGATGCAATCTGACTGATTAATTGTATTAAGTCACAGTTCCAGAAGATCAATCTTGATGGCAATCAAAGGGCTACTCTATTAATTACCTCATTTGTAGCATCATTTGATCAGTCAGTCTGCAAAAATGTTTATGATCGGGATTTTTAAAGTGTGTCCATCTCTGACTACAAACTCTACCCTGCAGTTGCTAGACGCCCTGGAGCTGAGTAGACTTACCATGAAAACTGTGAAGCAAAATCTTTGGTGGGCCTTTGCTTACAACATCGTAAGTTTTCCCCTATTTTGCAGTTCAAAATACTAAAAATAATTATTTTGTAACAATTTTTTTGTAAATAATTATTTGAGCATCCTTTTTTCCCCTCGTCTTTACAGATTGGTATTCCGGTAGCAGCTGGAACTTTGCTGCCTGTGACCGGGACAATGCTGTCGCCCTCAATTGCCGGTGCACTTATGGGTTTGAGCTCCATTGGTGTGATGACAAATTCGTTGCTTTTGAGACTGAAGTTCACTATGGTACAGAAGAATACAGTTGAAAAATCATTGTACGGTAAAGTCCCTTCAGACATTGAGAATCCCGGGAATGAAAACAATGAATTGATGGTTCATAAAGCCTTTCAGCATTCAAATGATGGAGCCACCAAATAATTTTACATGAGCCTATCGGAATTTGTAGTCAGAGAATATGACCAGTACGTCAGCAGAAGCACATTTTTATGGGATCCAGAAGAGAAATCAGGTAAATGTGTGCCTTTTCGAATCTTGCACGAGATTTTGCACATTGACCTTCACTGGTGATTTTAATGGAGCTTCACCGGTGATGTTAATAGTTTACAGGTCATTACATTACCACTGACTCCTTCATAAAGAAGCTGACATTGTCTTGATCCTTTGTTCCTGTCTGTCCTTCGTGAGATAAAAACTCCGGGTCTTCAACTTTGTTGCATCAAATTTGATTATTCGACCCATATTAGGAGATAATCAGAAAAAAAAAAAAAAAATTGACTGAGAATTTGAGCGATTGCGTTAACATGCTTTGTACCACAACTTTTCATATGGTTGGAGTTGGCTTCATCATAACAAATTTGTAATATTAGACATTGTATTATTAGCACACCATTACACCATATTAGCATTTGATGGGAGTTGGCTGCATCAACACATTCATTGTATACCACCGGCAAGCATTCATAGGAACACGTTCTAATCAAAGCGGACACAAGATTTCCCAAGTTTAAAACAAATTTGCGTGATAGAAAAGCGACAGTGCAAATCAAATGACTGAGAATGCTAGAGTTATATCATTCACCACAATAAGGTTCATCTCATCAATCATCATGCCCCAATTGGTGTATAAACAAAACGCGGAGGGTATTTTCGTTTAAAATTTCTAAAGACTTTTCAAGTGTCAAAGTATCACTTGAAATCCTAAACGAATACACCATATTTCCCACGAACAACTCAGAATTATATGGCCAAAATTAAGATTCATTATCCGTGTATATTACTTACTATAATCACTATTGTATCCAACCATGGGACACCAGTTGCACACGACATAAAAGAGCCTCAAAATCTCAGCCGAGGTTGTGCAATACGTGAGCATATGTATAAAATTAATCCCATGACTGGAGCAAAATGACTTCAAATCAGACCATGTACGTCATGCCGACCTGTATCAGGTGAGAATGGGGCACAGTCAGGTTAGCCGTCCCCTGTCTGCAGTTCTTCCTTAGGAAGGCATAAAAGTAGTTAATAACGAGCTTCTTGATGAACCATGACTCCTTGTGGGCCCGAATATCACCGTGCCCGAGAAGGTACACAACACCCGATTCCTTGGCCTTGCGCAGGAACGAGAGCTCTTTGTCGAGGCTCTGCTCGTCATCAGCTCGGGCCTGCTCGTTGTGGGGCCCAACCCGATCCTCGATGAAATTGCTCGTGTCCTTGAATTCGGCCAGGAGAGGCACGGCGAGGGAGTAGACACTGCCGTTGGGAGCTATTAGGATTCTCGACAAGTTGTCTTCTTCTGAGTCATTGTCATCGTCTGCATCGATATCGCTCTCGAGGGATCTTTCCTGGGCTTCCCGGCGAATGAATTTCTCGAGGCTCTCGATCAACAGCTGCTCAAATGCCTGGTGGTTTTCCTTGCGCACATCCTTGTACCCGTATCTGTTTGACGACAGCCACAGTCAGTAAAATAGAATAAAAGATGGGGCTCATTTAGACTAAGGGTGTGATTGGATATGAATTTGATTGTTTTTTTTTTGTGAACCATAGTTAATTTTGAAAAAGGTGGTATAATTAGTTGTTGGTGGTAATTTATTAAAATAATAATTTAAAATAAAATAACTAAAATTGATTTGATATAAAAGTAGGAGAAAAATGATTAGAAATGATGTTTAGTTAATTATGTAAGTAGATGAATAGTCAATTAAAGTTGATGTGATGATATTATTGAGTTAAATTTGAGTTTTGATAGAATTTTTATTGATTAAGTTTATATCCAATCACACCCTAAGGGCTTGATTGTTTATGGATTAATTTACTCACTTTTATTTCAACTCAAAAGTTAACTCAACTTTAACTCAACCCCACTATCTTTAATATTATTCATATAATTAAATAATACAAACCAATCATTCTTACACATCACATCAACTTTAATTCACCATTCATCCACTTACATATTTTTAACTACCTATCATTTCCAATCATTTCCAACATTTATCTCTTACTTTTACATCAAATCAATTTTAAACATTTTATTTTAAATATTATTTTAATATATTCTTAAAATTTTACTAACAATTAACTATACTACTTTTTCAAATTTAACTATGGTTAACCAAAATAACTCATTTTGAACAAATTATTTCATAAACAATCACGCCCTAAACAATTGCAGCAGATATTACATTACCTGGCAACACAACGAAATATGTGGTAGCTTTTAGCGCAAACTCGCCTGAAAAGGAATCTCTCGGTTGGAGGCACCACTGGCAAGGGGACATACTTTATACAAACAAATATGATCATCGAATGAATAGCGGGTAGAGTGGTTATGAAGTGCCCGAATATAGCAGGTATCCCCTTTGCCAGCTCGTTGTAAAGCAAGCCAATGCCAGGAGCTCTAACTGTTCCCAGATCGGGACCCAGTTTACGCAGAACATCAATTGACATCTTTTGCTTAACTTCCGTTTCATACTTTAGCTTGCTCCCATAATTCCATATGTACATAATTAAGAAGATGACAATGGCAAAAACCAGTATGATCCAACTCCCGTCCCCCACGCTCCACAATACGGAAGAAAAAAATGTCAACTCCAACCCCAAGAAGATGATAGCAAAACTCAGCACGACAAAAATGTTCATCTGCCATATAAGAATCATCACTAGGGTCACTAAGCTTGTAGTCATCATCATAACTCCCAGTTCAGCAATCCCTGTACAGACGATCAAAGTTATAGGATTAAAACGGATTGTTCACATTAGGCGACAGAATTAACATCTAGGTTGAGCTAGTTCGATTTTTCTGAAGTAAAGCAATAGTGCCAGCTGGCATCATGCATAGAGATGTTAAAATTTAGGTGATAAGAGACGAAGTAAAAGAAACACTGAGCAGACATTATTAATTATATAATATTACCATATGCATTGCCAATCTCATAAATACTTGAGATATTGCAGACTAACACAAGGGTCAGAATCAGTAGAAACCAATTCATGACTGGAATATATATTTGGCCCATGAATTTTCTCGAGGTATGGATAATTTTCAGACGAGGAAAGCAACCAAGAGCTATGGATTGTTTAATACAAGAGAAAGTGGCAGTCGTCATAGCCCTACTAGCAATGAGTGCAGCTACATTTGCTATGAGGAAGACAGGCCAGAAAGCTCCACCTGCAGCAGATTAAAGGCAAAGCCAGATTTCACTTTTTGTTCATTTTACATACTTAACTAGAAATACTTGATAATTTTAAATTGCATCTGACATAATTTATATAGAACAATCAAAAGCTGGAACCTAAAACTTAGGACAAATTGTTGGGATATCAATAGCCATATCTAGTCAACCAGATGCCATCAGTCCTTTATAAATTACATGCGAGAGATAATGGTCATAGTAAGATAAACTTATTGTTACTTGGAACAGAAGAGAAGAAAGTCTGTGTTGTGTCTGCATGGTTCGCCATAAGGTAAGCAGCTTGACCAAGGTAACCCAAAAGAAGGCAAGGTAATACCAGCAACCCAAATGTAAGCTGTCACAAGCAATTCACATTCTTGGTCAGCAAAACTTTTGATTTTTCTAAAAGAAAAAAACTAATGAAAAAAAGAAAAACTTGAAAAATCTTCGGCAATCATTTTCCAACAGAAAATGAAAATAAAAAATTGAGTATGTGTGTCTCAGAGAGAGAGAGAGAGAGAATTTGAAACAACTTCAGATTCCTACTTGCCTGTATTGATCTTACAGAAAAATAGCAAAGATCCGCAAACATTGCCTCAGAACCTAAGAGGAATAAATAAGAAATATGACTAGTTACATAAAAGATCAAATAGTGTCCAAGAAACTGATTTATGCTGGTCAACTGATCACACATGTAAGGGATTTCAAGTTCAAACAAGCCAGCAATGATATTCAATTTATGAAACTAAATATTACAAATACAAATATGAGAACGAAATCTGACACTACAATAATCACATCCAACATTTTACGTACTTTTTTGACACCTTCAAGTGGATTGAAACTCGTTTAGATACAAGATCACAGGACAAGATTTGATAATTAAATTGTATATAAAGGACAAAACTATTCCATTATAAGCCTCCCAGAGGGTCATATAATGAAAAAAAAAAAAAAAAATCTACACAATTTTATTCCATTTCAATTGTCATCCTCGATGTTCATAAAGTCCGATCAGTAATCGCTTAACTTCTGCCATGTATGCAGAACACAAATGAATAAGATCATTCAAAGCTAAGAATTTGTGATTCAACCAATAGTATTTTTAATGGTTTAGAAAAAAATAATAATGAGAACACTGTCGTACTTCACATTTCACAGCTTACCTGTTGCACAAAGGATACATCCCCCTAAGGAATACCAAGCCTTGGTTGAATTGCGCTTGAAGAAATAAAATATATGAATCGGATTGAATGCCCGCAAAACACTACGGTCATATTTGAGAAGGTTGTACATGCCAATGCCCCCAAGAGAACAAAACCATACAAACAAGGCAGGACCAACGATAAGCCCAACTTTACTTGTTCCATACCTCTGTACACTGAACAAAATAACAAGAAATGCGACCGAGATCATCACCACGTGATCTGCGAAAAGTTAACACTCTCAGTAATTCACTAAAGGGTTTAGATTTTCTTAATGGATATAAATTATATAAATTAAGAAGTGTTCGTCGTGGCAAGCAGCACGACCGTGCTGCATGAGGTAGTAGAATTATTAGTGAAAATTTCATTGTCACGAAAAGACACAGGACCACTGCCAGTAGCACATTTACATTTTCCTATACCCGATCCTCTTTTTGTACTACATCTTTAGCAGTTAATTTCATTCAGGTGAGTGTAACCAAGCATAGGTGTGTGCCAGTGAACATTTATTCCATGTACGCAAGATGTAGGCAAGATAAAGGTCTCTTATACCGGTATGTGAAGGTAATATGACTGGCAACTAACAAGACAACCACCTAAGGCTCCTCCGACTAGTAATTCACTGGCAGATTATTAATCTTTTGCATCCAATTCAAAGTGTTATCACATATTTTAGAACACATGACTCATAACCACGGATTAAAATGAGAAAATAGCAAAAGTACAACCTGAAAGTTCATAGGATCTGGGTAAAAAGAGAACACTCAGTGCAAGTATTCCAATAGCTTTTAAAAGATCATTCACCTTGTGTAAACCCAGAAACCCCAATTTTCAAGCCACCAACAGCTGATATAACTGCACAAAACCAAAAAAAAAAATAAAAAAATAAAAAAAAATAAAATAATGATCATCCACTTGAAGCAGCAAAGACATAGTTGAAAAACAATTGCATACAGCTCCAAGTTTCTTCCTTTCCTTAACTATCAAAGAACTATAATTTGAGAAATAAATGTGCCAAGAGATATCTATCTATGAATCACCTGACATTGCAGGTGTGACAACACCATCAGCTATCACCATAGAAGTGCCAGCCAGAACCAACATAAGAAGAAGCTTTTTCAATGTCAACGAAGCTTCGAGTCTTTCCTTTATTTTCAAGGATCTCTCTAGTTCGGCTGATGGCACCTTAAGTCTAAAGTTTGATATGCGAGCATCTGATGGTAGTTGGCTCGGGAGAAGACTAACTTTGGCATGCCTACATATCAAAGAGTATAGAGCAAATGTGCCACCTACAGAAATTTGGAAAACAGCAATCTAAAACGTCTACGAAGTGATGCATATCATGATCTATATAAAAATATATGGTAGTCCCAAATTGTAATATACCTTCACCATCATCATTCGCCCAAAGAACAATAAAGACGTATTTGATCAATGAGACCAGAATTAAGGTGTACAAAACTAAAGACAATGCACCAAGAACATCTTCATCACCATTAACTGGTGCCTTGCTGAACATCACACTGAAGGTGTATAGTGGACTAGTCCCCACATCACCAAAAACAACCCCAGGTGTCTGAAAGGCCAATACTATTCTCCTGCTCAAAGTGATATCCTGCAATTTTAATTTAGCACTTTGGAAATCTCTCAAGAAGTTGACTACACCATTCTGTATCACATTACACTATCAAATAACTCGAGTGTAATGATTGTTGACAAACTTTCCTTCAATATCAGATTGCAAGAGTAGCTTAAGAGAACATAAATTTCCAGGTGAAAGTTCAGATACGAAGCATATGGAATATAAGGTTGAGCAATGAAAGTAATTATTAAGCTAAAGACACTGCCAGAGTACTACAACTGTAAGGATGAAAACCATAACATAATAGTTGAAGTTAAATTTACGTGTCATTCAAAACATGACAGCATGTTAGTTAATGATCAAGAGTTCAGGAGAAAAGAATTGTGAAGGAGAGATTTGGCATCATCTATTGGGACTTTGGTCACGTGTTTATTAGTGTAGAAAAGTACTAGGAAAGGTCATGTGCATTTGGTAAGCAATTTGGAAAAAATGTTGTCCGGATTAAGCCAAAAGAACGTAAAAGAGTTCTTTGAGATCGCCCGCTTCACATTTAATCTATCATGGAGTCCTGTTTATCAATCACCACCAACTCGTTCCCCAAATTACGGTCATTTATGGTCTTTTGAGAAGGTCAACTTTCTAGTCCTCCATGTGAAGCCAGTTTTCTTTATCATTGAACAACTTTTAGGCTGGGCACACCATTGACACAAATATATTACAATCCGAAGATAAGCCGTTCTGGTTTCAGCATTGATGGAAGAAGAATCTCCTCGCCAATTCAAAGTTACTTGTTTGCAACATCTCCATCTTCTGCCTTTTAACCGACACAACTCTTCTAACCAAAACCCCAGAGCATGTCGATATCACGGGACAAATATCACAAACATCTGAGAACAAGGAACATATATAGTACATATTTATTCCCAACATAAGTCTCAGAATCCGGGGGTTTATAACTAAACCAACTACACCAATTCCTTTCTTCATATAACTAAAAATCATTTCATGGTAACGAAAAACCAAACCACATCAAACAAACAAAAGAGGATGCAGAAATGCATTCACTGCTATACCACTTCGCGACTCGCACACACAAAAATCGTCCTCATAAGTCAACTCAGGTTAAATCAAAGCGCACCTCAAAATCATTCCTCGGAGCGCCGGGAACTTCGAGAGCCTCAACATCGAACAAATCTATCCGACGCCCAGTCCGAATCAGCCTCTGCTCGACATTATCCTCGTCGTCGGAATCCCGCAGCGGCGAGTCGACGCCGCCTTCGTCGCCGTCGTTGTCGATCTCAGACCCCTCGTCGTCCTGGTACACCCAGCGCGACTCTATCGAATCCATCGACGCAAACCCCCTGCTCCCCCTCTCCGATCCTTCCGCCATCTCTTTGTTTGTTTTCCTCGGCGGAAAAAATTTCAAGTGTACATGTCGGATTCAGCAATATACGTAACAGATTATCGTCCAGATTGAGATTTTCCTGATGATAATCGGATCCTGCAGATTTTGTTTTTCCTTCTTTTTTGGAAGTGATTTTTGAAGTGTTTGTGAAATTAATGCAACGAACTATATTGATACGAAGTACGTATTACGAACTGATCGCGGGGAAGGGGCTAAAGGGATGTTGAAAAAAAAAAAAATGGTTTTATTTGGAATTTTTTAGCTTAATTTGGTTAATTTTGAAACATATGGTATGATGCTAGATTTTTTTTTTTTTTTTTTTTTTTTTTTTTTTTTAAAAAAAAAAAATGCAGTGAAGAAAATTAAGATCTTAATGCATCCCTAAAAGGAGAAATGTAATAGGAATGGAATCCTTCTAAAATTAAAAAGTGGGTATTGTACTAGTTTTATTGATAATGTCGAAGATAGTAAAATTAAGTTAAAAGTGAGTTAAAAAATGTGAGTGAGTTCAAAATGTTCGGATATATTTCGATATCTTGTATCCAAGCAACACCGAAGGCCTCAAAGGAGTGGGAATCTAACATGTGCAGAGGGGGAAAATGTGCATAGCTTGCGCATGTTAAGGTTTGTATATTCATTACCTATCCAAAAAATGGATTTCTTTGAGTCACCCGGCTAAATGCGGTTCGTACATGTGATTAGGGTTGGTATCGGTTCGGTAACCGAACCGATAAGGCTAAACCAATATCGAACCGCCATTTTCGGTAACAATAAACTAGGAAATCGAAATCAAACTGACTTGTAGTCGGTAATCGAGTTTTTAATTATCGAAAACTCGATTCGGTTTCAGTTCCCATCGAAAAAACTGAAAAAATCGAAAAAAGAGCCCAAGCTCAGATATAAAATACCTGAAGCCCAAAATCCAAAATGTACAACTTTGAAGTTCTACACCAATCACAGACACTAACATATGTAATTTTAAATGTTAAAACAATTACATGCATTGTTCAAATATTCAATCAAATTCCAATCCACTACTCTTGCATAAGAAAAAAAATCGAATTAAGAGAATAAAAATATTATTATATCTTAAAATAAATAACACTGATTATAATAGAAATAAACTACAAGAACCTCATCTATTAATTTACTCGATGAAGTAGCACCAGGTCCACCATGGTTTGAGCGATGGGGTGGTAGTTTATTAAACCCGGACTCGTGTTGATTTGTAATTTTAGATTAAGGTGGTGGCATTTCATTTATAATGGGCATACCTATAAAGTAATACAAATAAGTCAATAATCACCAAAATATTTCATGCACAATATGGATACAAAAATATTAATAAAATTATTAATTTGTTCCAATTGTTAGAGTTCCATGTAGACTCAAGCTCTTCTTCCGTAGGCTACTTGTGAAACTGAAATTCCTCTCCTCTTAGCTCATCACTTGTGTAAACTAAGGCCTCGACCATCTTAGGCGTCAAAGAACCTCTACATGGATCCACAATGCTTCCTCCAAGGCAAAAGGCATTTCACTAGCTACGGTCGAGCTAGGAAAAACAAGTACATCCTTAGCAACCTTGTAAAGAATAGGGAAGCTTGAAATTTTACTTTTTCACCATCCCCAATAAGTCGAAATCATCATCTTTGTACTTTCATATGCATCATTAAAATATTTGTCCACTTCATTAGCTATCTGTTTGTGTTTTACTTTTTTTTTTCTTTGTGTATTAAGCATCCGTTCTATCATCGATTCCACATCATCTTCATCACTACCATGACCAACACTATCATCCTCATGCAAATCCACATGTGACTTTCTATGTTTGTTCTCTTATAAGTTTCATATATAAGATACAAGTGTGCTTTCATTTGATTCTTAATGTGTTCAACTGCATTAAGAGTGTGATCAAGCTCCATTAATTGCAACTCCATCAATTGAATTTTACATCGCGGATCAAGGGTTTGGGATAAAAACATTAAAATATTCATATCTTTGAAAGAGCCCATATTTATCAATTTTTTTCTTCATAAAAGTAACCACATTTTACAACACAATCTTTCTTTATCTCTAATTCTAGACTCAATCTCAATCTTCAAGTTTATCAAGATTTTTAGAACAAGGTGTGAGGTCGGAGTCTTGGTGACACTAAGCATGACAGTGGCATTATAGAACTTCTTGAGGAAATGGGCAAATCCCATAGCTTTTCTCAATCTTCATTCTTCGGAGGCCTTACTCTTCCATTTTCAAAGTATGTCACAAATGGCCGAAATTATTCCACCAACCTTGTAAATACACCTTTAAACTTGTAAGGACTATTAAGCATGGTGTATGTGTCATTCCATCGAGTCATGACAGCCATCGAAATAGTTGATATTTTATCCTCCTCTAAAACCACAAACTCTCGAAACTTATCCAACCTCGCACTAGAAGAGTGAATCTACTTCACACAATTTCAAATGCTTTCAATGGACTTTATTATCTCTTTCATTTCATCCTTTACAATGAAGTTAATTATGTGACAAACACACCCCATATGCCAGTTTTCATCAAGTATAACACTATAATGCTTATGGAGTTGCTACTTCAAATACTCCTCGACCACATCATTGGAACTCGCAATGTCCACGATAATGTCCACGATAAGTGAAAATCCGAGTCAATAAAATGGGTTGTCACCACCATGTAACTATTTTGGATAGAGGTCCAAGTATCGATTGTGATACTTACACGGACATCACCAATGTTTATTTTGATATCCCTTTCTCCTTGCAAAATATATCCATGCCTCCTTCGCAATCTTCCTATGATTAGGAATTTTATAATGAGGTTGAAGATCATGAATGAATTTTTGAAATTCGATTGCTCTATGGTTTGGAAAGGCATCTCTGTTTTTTGGTACGCAAAAGACCTCAGACCGGCTGGGAACGACCTGAACTCAAGCTTCATCGTCGTAGATCGCCTAAGAACCTGCAAAATCTCTCATACAAGAGGGATTTTCTAGTGAAGAGCCTTCGATGTTTAAATGAGTACTTGTAGAAGATAAAGTGCAGAAAATAGTGTTTGAAATAATAGAAAATGTATGTGATAATGAACATAACTCACTCCCTTATGTGGGGAGGTCACACCTTGTTGCCTAAGACTACCCAGATGGGTTTCTAAAACTGCCCAAGGTGCCCGATAGTACAACCCAATTTGCACGATTCTGTTAGGCCACGTGGAACTATCTACGTGCGGCTCTTCAACCCTTAAGATTTCTCATTATCCTTTAGTCTTTCCTATTAGTATGTCAAATGGTATGACCAACTTGAGGCCTGTTGAGGTAGAACGTTGCCTGCTCTGAGACCAAGTGATGTCCTTTCTGATCGATCATACGACCATCCATACCTAGAGGTCAAGTTTCCAACAGGCCATCCGAGGTCCCTAGTTCGACCTGTCGTTGTCTCCTTTTACTCCTTGCACTGTCTTCGACCTGAGAATGACTTGTTTGATGTTCGACCTCCCGACTACTCTACTTCGATCATCCAGTTCGTTCATTCTGATTGACCGGATCATTGGATTTGCTCTTCCGGGTATGACATCCTATGTCAGCTTTGATAATCCACTTCACACACACATTTTGTCGAGTCTTTTTTAGTTGAAGTCTGAAATTTTTACTTCACCTCTCACCATCAACTGAGTTAATATCGGTTGGCTCATATCCATCACCACACGAAGAGGAAAACTCTCACAAATGATTGAGAAGGCCACTTGTTCCGTTCCTTTTAGTATCAACAGACATTTGTAAAGTACAATGCTTGCAAATAGCAACTATCTTCTGAATCCCTTCATTCTGAATAGTTTTCCTGACACAATGATCCCGAATGATACTCATCTCCTTCCTATTTTTGGTATTGCTTGTTTTTGTAACATTCGTGTTTGTCGTGCTTTCTTGGGTTTGATTATCTCCGTCTTTCAATTTAATGGCATTGTGCTTATAGCTGGCTCTCCCTTCCTAATACAAAATCGTTTATATATATAT